CTTAAAATATATATATATATATATATATATATATATATAGTTATGGGGTCCTCCCCTCTTCATATAAGTGGACTCTACCAGTGTTACATGGAGTGCTGCCGTTAAATATCCAGAGTTAGACAGTCAGTGAGAGAGAATATACGAACAGAGATAGTGAGGTAACCTCTTGTAGAAGTCAGTTACAAGCACGTAGACTCTAAGGAAGTCCTACTTCGAGACTGTATATATCTATCTGTATTTGCTACTAACTGCGTTTCTGGACTTACTAACAGTATTACTCTTTGTATGATTGATTGTGTAAATACATTTTATTTCTTATATTTAATTATTGCGTTTGACATTCCTTGGAGACCGAATTCATCTCGGAATCCACAAACATATATATATATATATATATATATATATATATATATATATATATATATATATATATATATATATATAAAATTATGAGCAGTGTGTTTTTTTGTGACTGTTTCTTAATAGCGTCATTAACGAAAGAGGAAAAAAGGAATAGACAAGAATAGAAAGAGGACAAACGACAAACATATATATAAAATTAACAAGTCAATTCTGTCTTGATTCGAACGTCCAACCTGAAGGTATGCAAGTGAGTTTTTATATTTTACGCCAGCGTTCCACTGCTTCAACGGTACAATAAAACTGCATATAAGACTAAACAGAGCATACATTGCACCTAAGGACCTAGAAACGACGTAGACAACAGATACTCTTATATCTGTCTATATATGGCTCAGTAGGTAAAAGCGTTGGTTGAAGAAATCCGGTGATTTAACCCAATGAGTTGTGAGTTCAATACCTACCTAATGGAGAGTTGAGTTACTAAAAAAAGGAAAATAACTGAAACTAAAATATCCGGGAGGGGCATGGAATGCGGAACTAGAAAATTCTACCCTGGTGGGCGAAATAGAGGGCTTGGTTTGAAGTTCCAATCACCTGATTTGGATGTCGTGAATATGACAAAAAAAAAAGTGAAGACAAGTCCGAGCAATGTAAATAGATACGTTAATGCTTGTCAGAAGTGTGGAAAAATACGTAATCAATTCAGCCATTTTTATGGATACTATACTAGTAAGTAAATACAAAGAAAATAAACATGAAAATAAAAATTGTTATTGTTCACCTGATGCAATCCCAAGAGCCATTCAATGTAGAGGGATAGTGGATGATGTTGCTGTAGAAAGTAAGAGATATCAAAGGTTTCAGTAGATTAGATCGAAAGTTAAGCGATTCAAACAATTTTATGTAGATTCTTAAATCACTTGAGAATGTGGAGACTTTACATCTTATTTGAATCATCTCACAGTCGATACAATCAATTGTCACATATATATCATCATTATCTTCAGTGCTATGAACGGGTGTCTTCGTAGGGTCTTTGAGAAGCTGACCAACTGACCAGTTCTCTACGTAAGCATCGATAGTTTACTCTTTTACACCCTTGTGCAAATTAAATTAAACAACCACAGTTTCCTTTCAACACCATACGGTCAGTTTTAGAACCACTGGAGTGACAGGGTGTAATCGATTTCTATTTTTCCTCGGATTAGGTCATTTGCAGTGGTGCGCACTAATATGAATCTATTTTCGGGGTGTATGATGAAATTTGTTTGGCCTTGATGAATATTGCGTCATCCATGATTGCATCATATTTTTTATCACGTCCAGACACTATTGTTTCGACTGTCGATTAGTTGTTCTAAGACCATTGTTTGCGATGGACGTTACTCCAAGGAAGCGTTCGAAAACTGTAACGCTGTAGGAACACACAGGCAAGCCTTACCAATAAGCAAATCAAAGTACTATAGATTGGACCGGAAACTTTCTTGATTTAAATCCAATCGAGAATCTATGATCAATCTGCAAGGAACGTCTTCGTGGAATAGACATACGAATTACTAAAATGTACACTGGGTCATGTTTCATTGGAAAAATACGAAAAAAGTAAATAATAACAGAATTATTCGTTTTGTTTGAATTAATTTGCAAAAGGGTGTATGTTGCTTTATCTTCGTTGTATTTTCAATTTTTCTAATGATTATTATGATGTGATAAAGGCAGTTAGGACATAGCTAAGAGGACAAAAAGAATATTTTACATCTTTGTGTAAATTAATTGAAACAACCGTTTTAGTTTTGTAACGCTACACGAACACACTGGCAAACCTTAGCATTGAGCAAATCAAAGTACTATAGACTGGACTGGAAAATCTCCCGATTTAAATCTAATCGAGAATCTGTGGTCAATCTACAAGGAACGACTTCGTGGAATGGACATACGAATTACTAACATGTACACTGGGTCATGTTTCATTGGAAAAATACGAAAAAAAGTAAATAATAACGAAATTATTCAATTGTTTCAATTAATTTGCACAAGAGTGTAGCATTGAGAAAAAAAAAGCAGTTTTGTATCAATCTTCTCAAAGTTCCAGCACATGCATATTGAATTAGCAAGGGCTGCCATTCCAATTTTTTTCAAAATAACCTTCCAATAGATCCAGACATAAAAATGACAAGACGTAAAAAAAAAAAAAAAAAACAAAGAAAAAAGAAAAAAAGAGACTACTTCAAAATAGAACTCTAATCAGACGTCCTCCTGAAGCCAACACGCGAAGAAATGCTTATCTTCCCCTGGCCTGACCAGCCAGTATTATACTTCACTTCGAGGCTGAAAACTTTGATAAAATCTGAAAGAGTCGAAGTCAACGCTTTTATACAGTTTAAATGATTTCTCCTGACTTAAATGAGATGTATACGAGTAACAAGAGTCTGGCGCAAAAAACATGACGCTTTTTACTCAGATAGGCGTATTTTTAAACGCAGTGTCACAACCTTAAACTTAGCACGCGACCCAACATGGTGACCACTGATCCGTTGTACGCTACGCCGGAAGTTTAACATATTGTCTAACATGCATTCTTTTACAGAATCACACATACATAGAAACAGGCATACAGACATTTACACATATAAAAAAAAAAAGAATTTGAGTAACTATTTACACTATTTACTTTGTTCGGATTTTGCCCTCATCTTTATTGTCATATTAAGAACGTTTCAGCCATTGTACGCTGGAATTTCGAACCGAGACGGTTATTTAGTCCACCGGGGTAGATTGTTCTAGTTCCACGTGCCATACCGTTTCTGGATATCTCAGTTTCAGTTATTTCCCTTTAATAACTCAACTTTTAAAGAAACAGTTTTAGACCCACTGGAGTAACAAGGTGTAATCGATTTTTGTTTTTTCCTCAGATTAGTCGTTTGAAGTGGTGTGCAGTAATATGAATCTATTTTTGGGGTGCATGATGAAATTTGTGTGGCCTTGAAGAATATCGCGTCAACTGTGATTTCATCAGATTTTTATCACGTCCAGACACTATTGTCTCGACTGTCGATTAGTTGTTCTAAGACCATTGTCTGCGATGGGTGTTACTCCAAGGGGGTGTACGAAAATTGTAATGCTGCACGAACACACAGGCAAGTCTTACCAGTAACCAAATCAAAGTACTATAGATTGGACCGGAAACTCTTTTGATTTAAATCCAATCGAGAATCTATGATTAATCTGCAAAGAACGTCCTTGTGGAATGGACATACGAAGTACTGACATGTACAGTGGGTCATGTTTCATTGGAAAAATACGAATAAAAGTAAATAATAACGGAATTATTCGTTTTAATTAATTTGCAAAAGGGTGTATGTTGCTTTATCTGCATTGTATTTTCAACTTTTCTAATGATTATGATGACGTGATTAAAGGCAGTTAGGACATAGCTAAGAGAACAAAAAGAATCTTTTACATCCTTGTGTAAATTAATTGAAACAAACGCTTTAGTTTTGTAAAGCTATACGAACACACTGGCAAACCTTAGCATTGAGCAAATCAAAGTGTTATAGACTGGACTGGAAACTCCAATCCAATTGAGAATTTGTGGTCAATGTGCAAAGGAGTGACTTCATGGACTGGACATAAATAGTACCAACATGTGCACTGGGGGTCATGTTACATTGGAAAAATGCAAAAAAAATAAGTAAATAATAAAGGAATTATTCGTTTTGTTTCAATTAATTTGCACAAGTGTCTATATAGCCATGTCTATAAGATCCACTATTTCAAGTATATGCAGGTGACTCACTTTGATATATTACGAAGGAAAAGAAATTGTTTTTGATTTAATTGTTCGATGAAAGGAAACGTCCATTTTTTTCTTTTCCTGGGAAGAGGCATTCTGAATTTCTGGGATGAATGATTCTCATTACTTACATCAAAATGAGCAAATCAAAGTACTATAGAGCAGCGCGGAAACTCTGTTGATTTCAATTCAATCGAAAATCTCTGGTCAATCTGCAAGGAACGTCTTCGTGGAATGGACACACGAAGTACTAACATGTGCACTGGGTCATGTTTCATTGGTAAAATACGAAAAAAAAGTAAATAATAACGAAATTATTCGTTTTTTTTTTTTCAATTAATTTGCACAAGGGTGTAGCATCGAGAAAAAAAAGCAGTTTTGCATCAATCTTCTTAAAATTTCAGCACATGCATATTGAATTAGCGAGGGCTGCCATTGTAATTTTTCTGATTCTTTTTAATATGTTTGATAAGTGTTCGAATTGCACTAAATTTTCCCAAATGACAAGTCAGTCTAGAGGAGAGCGTGATCCATGTGTGACCAATGTAATAATTTGTTTTAGTGTTGTAGATAAAATTTCCCAAATAACATGATGATCCATAAACAATCTTATTATATAGGGCGAATATTTGAGGTGGTGAATTATTGCTAAGAATTAGATTAGAATAGACGTTTTTAAATTTTGCAAGCAATTTATAAACCTAAGGTATTTGTTAGGCTCAATAACTTACATTCTGTCGAATTATAATTTTAATAGCCTTTTCATCTTTATAAATAGAAGGCATCTGGATACACTAAAACAATTTAATGGAGTATTTATTTGTTTTAAACAAGTTGGTTGCTTATGTTAGAGCCACTAACGCTGACCCTACCTACACAACCTATCTTATCCTATCCTATCCTATCTATCTATCTATCTATCTATCTATCTATCTATCTATCTATCTATCTATCTGTTTATTTCAGTTTGTTCATATCTATCTATCTCAGTTTGTTTATATCTATCTATTTCAGTTTGTTCACATCTATCTATCTATCTATCTATCTATCTATCTATCTATCTATCTATCTATCCCATTCTGTTTCATATCTATCTATCTATCTATCTATCTATCTATCTATCTATCTATCTATCTTGTTTCCTTTATTCTTTTGCCTTTCCCCACCCCTTTCTTCTGCAACGATCAAACTGAATTTATACGTGGTATTTTTATACACACTACAATATATGATCTCCCATGGAGAATGATATTTTATTTAATTTTGGCTGTTTCTTTTATATTCTAAAGGCTTCTAGAATTTTGATTCCTTCTTTTCATTGAGTCCAATATAATATTTTAGTGTTATCTATTAAAATTGATCTTATGTTTATACTTTAACTCTCTGTGATGTTTATATCTAATGGCTTGAGTAATTCTCGTTCAAATCATTTCTAATTTTAATAGTATGTGTAGAAGCAATACTATGTTTACCGTATTTTCCGACTTACAAGACGCTGCGGCTTGGAAGACGCACCCTAATATTGGAAAGAAATTTCTAAGAAAAAAAGAGTCATTCTCATACAACAACACGTCCCTCACATACTGGCGCCACGTATTGTTTACATTAATCATTTATCCGATTTTGTTTATATGACAATGACATACTAGTCTAGAACAGAAAGGCTCCCTGCTAGTAAACAGAGCATGTTTAAGCTTGTGGCTCGGCTCCAGGAAGATTTATAGCCTTGGAAATACTTGTAACAGCTAAGTACTAAGGTTACATCATATAAAAGGCTGAATGAGATAGATTACTAACATTATAGTGTAATGACTCAACATACAAATCCACGTCCCTATCAGTAAAGTCAATAGGTGACCGTCCAAGTTTACTTGAACCTGGGCGTTGCGTTACATTCGTCTTGGAAGACGCACACGTATTTTTCAGAGTATTTTTAAGGGAAAAAAAGTGCGTCTTGTAAGCCGGTAAATACGGTATTTTTTTTTCTTTTCAGGTATATAAATAGCATTCGCTGGAAAAAGAAAAGACGTAGAATAAAATTGTGCATTTGAGAGAATTCGCTAAAAATGCACGAACTTCAATGTAGATTTGAACATGGAACAAGAAATCTCGAAGACGAAGGTTATCTGTGCAGGAAAAAAGGATCTGGACGACGCCCAGGATCGAAAGAAATAGCGGGTTAGGGAGACATTTTTGTGAAGCCCCAGGAAGTCCATAAGAGCAAATTTGGAAACCCAAATTCCACCAACGGCAGTTTGGCGTGTCGCAACGAAAGACTTGCGAATGTCACCCCACAAGCGGCAGCTCGTTCAAGCCTTAACGATAGATAACCAGCAAAAGCGAAAGCAATTTTGTGCCGATAATCAAGAGGTACTTGAAGAATCTCTTGCTTTCAGTGATACCACCACATTTCATACGAATGGCAAAGTCAGCAAGCGTAATGGTTGCATTTCGGACTGAGAAATTCCCCATTACATAGTTGAGCACATAAGGGAGTTGAAAACTTGTAAAATCCTTTATGAAATTCACATACATTCGAATTTCTCATCTGAATTTTGATGAATAAATCTTATTTTGTCCAACAATAAGCCTGTTTAGTTTCATTTGTCTAGACCAAATACCCAGTTTTTGTAAACACCCTGAACACACACACACATATATATGCACATATACACATACGCACATATATATATAATAATATATATATATATATATATGCAAACACACACACACACACACACACACATATATATATATATGCAAGACTCTTCGGTAAATCGAATTGAGTTATTTCAATCACTCTGTGTTTATCTAAAAATAAATAGGCTTAAATTCACCTTCATCCCTGTCATGCGTCAACGGCGTAGTGGTAGAATCCTCGACTGAGGCGAATTCAATCGGGTTTTGATCCTAGCTAGTGGCAACCGGACGTCTATCCACACTGATGAGCTGTGATACAGCGAAACAGTCTGTCTGTGGATGACAATATATATATATATATATATATATATATATATACAGGACGAGGTAAAAAAATAGACGTGCCCATAGAAATGATGATGAGGTTATTACATTTGAATTTACCTTACTATTAACATGCCTAAGGATTTTTATGTCTTCGAGAAAGGCCAAGTTGCCGTTTTTCATGATCTTGGGGTGTCGAATAGAGCGATAGCTGATAAGATTAATCGAAGTGAGTCATGTGTCCACCAGTTAAGCAAAAAGAGAAATCAAACTGGAATATATAATAGACGTAGCGGATCTTGCCGACCGCTAAAAACTACCGCCAAGGAAGACAGAAACTTGGTTGGTCAAGGCAAAAAATATCGATTCGCAACGCCACAAGATGTTTCCAAAGCTGCTATTTGGGTGGTTTCGTCACGGCATTGTTTCTAAATACATAAAAAAAAGAAAGCTTTCGTATCTGGAAAAAAAATCGACGGGTACGGTTGGCTTGGTGTAAAGCTCGTTTACACTGGACTAAAACTGATTGGGATGATGTTATGTGGAGTAACGATAGCCCCTTTACTCTTAAATATGAAGGACTAATACGTGTTTGGTAAACACGCGGTGAAAAGTATAGACGGTAAAAAATATCAACGTTTGGGGTACATCCTTAGCATCAGGAGTTGGTAATTTGTACAAACTAAAGGCCAGCATCAATACCACAATATTCTTGTTAATCAAATGTGGCTTTCTGCTAAAAACCTTTTTTGACCAAGGTCAATGCTTCACGTTCCAAAATGATAACGATCCTAAGAATACTGCCTCAAATAATAGACGTTATCCATAGAGGAAACGCGACGAGGGGAAATTGAAACTCTTCCAGTGGCCTTGTCTTGACCGTAACCCAATTGAAAACCTTTGGGCGATAATGGATAAGCGAGCCCGTAATGGGAAAGTTAACACAAGAGATGAACTTTTTCGCGAATTACAGAAATGCTAGAAAATCTGTAGAAGGACGTTGACTTATTCAAGAATTTAGTCTTTAGTCTTTGCATGCCACAAAGAATTAAGGCCGTTATTAAAGCAAAAGGTTATCCAATAAAATACTGAATCTTTTTTTGACTTGTTTTATGTACATATATAGAGATGTATTAATACCCTGTATAAAGGAATTCTATTACTGGTCTTGGTAAAAATACAAAAATCGAGTTTTCTGGGTGCGTCCATTTTTTTTTTGCCTCGTTACTTCTCATATATATATATATATATATATATATATATATATATATATATATATATATGTGTGTGTGTGTGTGTGTGTGTGTGTGTGTGTGTGTGTGTGTTTTCTATAGGAAAGAACATTTAGATTAATGATCCAAAGTTCTTTAGTATTTATGTTTTTTATTAAAAAAAAACCATGCTCGTTACAAAAGTAGAGCTTAAATTATAATTATTTTTTTTAAAAATATGATTCCATCACGACACAGAAATTATTGTTTCGAAACTTGACTCAAGTTCCAAAGTTTAATTTCAACATTAAACTTAACATTTAGAGTACAGTTTCATTCTCAAGCGATGTTTAAAATAACTGAAGAAATATCTATGTGTGTGTGTTTGTGTGAGAGTATTTGTCTATGTGTGTCTGTATGTATGTGACAGTAACTAGTCTTTTTTTTTTTAATAATTTCACCTGAATCTAGGCAATAAAGTAACTAAGACGCATGGGGTTACTGGGTGTGAAGGAATATGAGAAAAAACAACAACAAACAATAGAGAAATAAAAGAACAGGAATTAAGAAGACAAAAGATAACGATTGATATTGCATTTATATTTTTGAAGATCAAAGTTGACTGGAAAGCAAGAAGTCAGAAGAGAGTTCCACAAGCAAGAAGTGCGATAGGAGTAACTACTAGCATTTAACTTACGGTTACATCATGTCAATTAAACTGTAAATTAATGAGACCTTATTGCCAATCTAGTACTGAACTTAAATTCATAACGTCTAGGTACTAAAGAGGTAAACTGATCTGAACAATTCCCGTTAAAATATTTATAGAAAACGTACAGGGAACATTGAATGAAACCGAGATATCATTTCATGACCAATAATATTGCAGATTCTTTTTTTGTATTTTATCAAGAATCTCTAAATACATAGCAGAAGCACCAAACCAGGGGAATCAACAATATTCAATGCATGGACGAATGGTGGACTTATAAATATATAACACAGATTCTGGCGAGAAAGATTGTCTAGCGCGACAATTCGATATTTTGCGTATAACTTGACTGTGTAATCTTTAACTTGCTTGGCGACGGAAACATTAATAGATAAGCGTCGAGATTCTTGTCCTTGGATAAGCATCTGCGTGCCGAGATGATAAGGTTATGTCTATCATCGCTTGAGTTTCCTGCGCTTGTCGGTCAACTGTGACGTTGAAATTGTCGCCCCACGTCGTCGTACCAAGAGCTTCTTTCTTGTTGATGCCGGATTTACTTAACAGACCTTCTATCGCGCCCGCGTTCATGACATGAGCTGCTGCCAGACTCTCCTACTGGATAACGGATATAAGTCAGGCAAGACACGATATAACATTAACCCAGACGTCTAAAAGGGGTTCACCGATAAGAAAGAAAAAATAGAACTCGTGGTAAGAACGTGAGAGGTCATTTCAGTGAATATTCGCCCATCTCTTTCCCGCCTTCTACCTTATTTATTCACTTATAATACAGTAGTACGCATTCCTGTAGACACGGATGCACGTAAAGGCGACGCTTTATGACGTAATGGTTAACGAATGATTTTCACAGACAGACCAATGGATGTGTGTGTAGTAAAAACGCTTCCCACTGGGAGTTCCTATCAGCCAGATTCAGAAATTGCCCATAGTGATACGTATGGAAAAAAACTGATATATCAATTTCTATATATAGCAAAAAAGGCAATCGATGGACAAAGTGGGAGAATCTGTGCAACGTGTTTTGTCCTCTAGAAGGATTTGTTGTTTGTTTGGTTTGTTTTATGGTATATCAACCTCAATAGGTTATTTAATGCCGAAAAAATTAATTTTTATTGCTGGTAATATTTTTATCCTTCAAAAATCTATTTCTGGTAATATTTTTGTCTTCAAAAACATCTATTTCTGGTAAGATTTTTTTCTTCAAAAAATCTATTTCTGGTAATATTTTTTCTTCAAAAACAAAAATTTTTTTCTTATTTTTCTGGTAATATTTTTCTTCAAAAATCTATTTCTGGT